AATAGTGACTAAAATGTATAAATTAAAATACAACACATAATTCATGAATAAATGATAAAATAGAATACATCAAGTGACTAAAAAAAAATCAGTGACCAATTTAGAATAAATGAAATCCAAGATGATAACCAAATTGAAATAAAATGCAATAGGACGTCAAAATTAAAATACATAAACAAAATAGTCACTTAATGACTAAAATATAAAAATAAGGCAAAGTTCTGAGGACCTATGGGTGATTAAATCACGAGATAGTGACCTAAAAACACAGTACGCGAAACGGGAAGAGCTTGTCTGTGATTTTACCCCTAACAATGATGACTATAATGCAAAAACATGGTAAAGTATGGGGACCTAAAAGCAAATAAACCAAAAGTTAATATTTGAGCATGAAATGGAAAAATTATTAAATAAAGACAAACATTTTAAACAAATAAGAAATTTATCACAAAATAAGTGACCAAATTATAAATGACAGAAAAGATGGGGATAACGGGAGGCATTAGACCCTTCGGTCCCAAAACGTAGAGAAATGATACCAAAACGACGCCGTTCTGGTAGCCTATATATTTCATTTTCTTCTATTTTTCTTTATTTTTTCCTCATTTTTCTTTTTTTCCTATTTCTAGAGAGAGAATCTCTCTTTTCTTTATAGATTTCGGCCCCACACCGGCTGTTTTGGCCCTCGCCGGTCGCCATCTCACTCGTCACCAGTCGTCGCAGTTTCTTGTGGCCGTTGGCCTCCAAACTTCACTAGGAGACTTACCTTGACCCCCTCATCTCAGATCCGGGGTCTGTTTCTCATGAAATGAGTTCTAACATCGTGAAATTGGTCGAACTCCCTCATCTTTCTAAGGCCCCGAACAGTGTGTTCCTTCTCAGATCCGAGGTATATTGTTCTCCTCGCTCGTGTGTTCCTTCTCACCGTTCGGATTTGGCGATGGAGGCTCCAAACAGGCAAAGTACTCGGCCGAAGGTAAACTCTTCTCTCATTTTTTTTTTTTACTTTGTTATTGCTAAAAACAATATTGTAGTTCGAATTAAAAAAAAAACAGAAAATTATTGCTCTAAAATGATTTTTTGTATTATTTTCAAAAATGGAGGGATCCCCTTACATTTTTGTTTTGGGTTTTTATATTACCCTTTACATATATGAAATAAATAAAATAATCATGCTTGCTTGTTGTTGTGGCTCTGCTGACTGAGATGGGATTCGGTGGCACAGTGAAGGTGGCGTGGAGTGTTGGTGGAGCAAAAGTAACTGGTATGGGATTGGTGCAAGAAAATTAGCTGGCAGAGGAATGATTGATTAAGGTGATAATGATGATATGTTGAAATGACAGAAGTCGGAGGACGAAAATTGGTGGCCGGAACAGTGGCGACGGCTTAGTCTTCTCGGTTGGCAGTGGAGGCAGCGACGGCTGAAGATGATGAAAATGCTAGGGTTAGGGTTTGTTGCAAATTGGGCCAACTGTTGGGCTCATTGTTTGGGTTTTGAGTTACTTGATTTGGGTCAGTTTGGCTCTTTGTAATTTGGGGCCCAATTTTGGGATTTGTTGTATTTGGGTCTTGATCTGAAAAAACAAAATAATAATAATAATAAAATATTAGTATTAAAATAATAATAATAATAATATAATAATAATAATAATAATAATAATAACAACGGACTTCGAACGAAAACGGGTGTCGACAAAAAGAATAAAGAAATTCGGTATTTATGAAGTTAAATACAAAAACAATAAAATATCTCATAAATCACAAGTCTTCTCGTTTAATTTGTGTGGTTGACTGAATTTTAATTTTATTGATATTGTTGTCATTGTAACATATAAAAAGATATAGATTCGAGTTCATTTAAACTTATATTATCTTCTGATTTGTGAATGAGAATAAAAAAGAATTTAAGTATCAATTGATTAATCTTAAATCTAATTCTTTTAAGATGTATGCTTTATCATTTGTGTGAAAATTTTATAGATCAATTTGAAATAAATTTCCGATATGTATTTTATATTGTAATTATATATAAATTTGAAGAATTGATATATATTTATGCTTTACAAGTAATATTATTCTTAATATTCTTTAACATTTTAAATAAATTTGATTAATGTTATAAAATGATGTAACAAAAGTCCATTTCATTTTATATATAAGCATTTTTTTTGAAAATTTAAGCCCTTTCAACAAACTTTTTTTTAAATACAGTTGTTGACTGTCTAGCGAGAGCAGCTTAGATATTGATATATTATCATAAAATACTAAATATAAATTTTTTTAAATATATTTTTAATGATGTCTCATGATTTGATTTATTGATAGTGCATAAAATTGCATTTAAATTAATGTATAAAATATTCATCCTTCTCTCATATATTTTTTATTTCAAATAATAAAAGTATACTTTCTCAAATCAAACGTATATATGGTTTCAATAATAATGGCAATAATAAGAATATATTAAAGAATCTAACTTTCTAGATATTGCATATACAAGGGCAAAGACGTCAGGATTTCAATTCAATGATATAAAATATAATTAATCATAAAAAATAAGGGATAAAATATTATATAAAAAATGAGAGGAAGAAATAAAAAAAATTAAAATTAAGAAATTTATTTTAAAATTTACTCAAGTAATTTTTTTAATAATAAAAAATAAGAGGGACAATAGTCCCCAAGGACGAAACATAGCTTCACCCCTGCACAAAGATTTAATATTTTTAAATTTGTTCAAATAAAGATTCAACCTTTCAAAACATACGAATAAGGGCTAGCGTTTTTTAATTTACTCAAATAAGAATAAAAATAATTTAAAATTATTATTAAAAATATTAGACTTCTTATTTGAGCATAATTGTAACCACTATGTCCTTGTATAGTCCTTTTAAAAGGTTAGGCCTAATGTTAAAAAAAATTAAACCCTTATTTGATCGCAGTTATAGATGTATGCTATATTTAAGGTGAGCACGTATCTATTATGAGATATGAATTTTCTTACATTAATTACTTATTTTATTGATTGTACTTACCTTGAAATTTTATTTGTGTCCATATCGTACAAAAGTTTTATATTATACTAATGATTATACTCTTAAATGATCACTCTTAATTTTTTATTTAAATAATAATAATAATACTAATAATAATATGTATGTATGTATGTATTTGTGAAGGAAGCATTGAGCTAGGGTTTCTAGAAACAAAACTTGAAAAAGAAGAGAGAAGAAAGGTTGCAGTTAGGATTGACATTTGGGCTTTGAGGAGAAATGAGATGAAGAAAAGGTCTAAACAGAAATCCTTCAGCCATAGATACAGTCGTGCGGGTTGGTGACCCTTTTAACCACTCATTATTATTTATCATTTTTACTAATTAAAATAATTTTTAGTCATTTGTCAAATATTTTCCAGTATAATCATTTGTATTTATTAGTCGATTAATCCAAAACTAATACCGTAAAAAATCATTATCAAGCTGCTCATCTTTATTTTATCGTATTTTCTTAAGTCATAAATTTTAGATCTACTTAGAGCACTCTCCTTCCTTCTCTTAAAGTTCTCCTTCTCCTCCCCTAAATAGGGTTAGAACTTCTTTATTTACAACGTTAAAAGTTAAATTTTTAATCTTACTTAAAACACCTAATTTAACTTATAATTAATGATTATCCACATTTATTACTGATATTGAGCGATCAAATTATATAAATAATGCAAAAATATCTGACTATATCACTCTTTCTATTCACACAGATATAGTATATCAGTTCCATAATATTTAGAAGATGAGATTTATTAATGAGATATGTTTGATATATTTATATTTTAGTTGTCTACAATATAATCATGAGAAAACGTTAACAAGCATATTTAGTCGGTTAGTTAAACTGCTTATTTTTATTTTCTTATATTTTTTTAGGTTATGGGTTATACACCTACTAAGATCACTGCCTTTTCTTTCCCTAGAGTCCCCTCCCTCTACTCTAAATAAGATTAAAATTAGATTTAAAATTTGTAAAAAAAGAAATCCGAAGAAATTTATAGGGGAATTTGAGCATGTGATACTGATAGTGATTAAGATATTAGCAAGCCATTGTCACTTAAGGAAAACCAAGTAAATCCATCATTTGGAATGATCATAAATATAAGAAATTTGTTAACAAAATTATATATATATAAACAAACAATAAACCTGAAAACCTAAGTCATTTGAGAAACGGAATCAATAGAGAGAAAGGGATTGACGATAATAATTTAAGATAAATTATTGATGGTTATAATGCTAAGAACATGTTCCCATTGGAACTAAGATTTGGGTGGGTAGAAATGGGTAAAGGTGGTTGGGCAAGAATATCATACAACAAATAAAAACACACAAAAATCTCTAACCCTAGAGTGTATCAAAGACTCAATCTCCCTCCTCCATAGGATAGATTGAGGGGTTAGATGGAGTGGTCGTTACTCTGAAGATACCACATAAGGATGGATCGAAGAGAGTTAGTGATCGAAGAGAGTTAGTAAAAGCAGTCGTTTCTTTAAAAAATTAAAATTATCAAATAATTTAAATAATTTTTATATTTTCTATTAATAATTTATTTTAATCCACATAAAATTTTATGAAATTATCTCATCTTACATAAAATCTTATTTATGTCCCGACACACACGAATACACTTAAACAATCTCTCCAATTAGTCAATGCTAAACTTGCTTGGCATATTCAGTAATAAACTCAAAATCTTAGTGACAAATCAACAAATCCACCCATCTATATATCTAACTGACCACTCACTGTACAGTAGCATTGGTGTAAATTTCAAAACCAAGTACTTTTCTTGCAGCATGTTTGTCAAAGTGTTAGCTGTAATTGTCATAATATATAAAAAAAATAAAAGGTTAGTCATGGCTGCTTCTTCAAGAGGGAAGTTATAGAACATAAAGTACACGCCACCCATTTCCAATCTCATTTCATTGATGTTATAAGCTTCTTTTATAGCGTCATCTCCACTTTTGCAGTCTTCTTTTTGCATATATAGCTTTGATTTTTAGGGTTTTATCGAGAAGAAAAGGAATGGAGAATCTCCCTCCAGGGTTCAGGTTCCATCCCACAGATGAAGAACTCATCACTTACTATCTTTCCCGCAAGGTGTCCGATATCAGCTTCACTTCCAAAGCTATTGTCGATGTTGATCTCAATAAATGTGAACCTTGGGATCTTCCAGGTATAGCTTTTTCATAATTTTTTTGGCTGATAAATCAGATTTTGTACTCTTCATATTTGATTTAACTTGACAGTACGTAATAATTATAAGAACAAATTAAGTTTTGTAGTAATAATTATACTCTTCATGCAAGTAAAGCTAATTATGTTGAAAGGAAAATATTATTATTAGTAAATTGATCAAATCTCCTTAAGATTACAAAACACTTTGCTAGTTTGCTTCCCCATGCATACAGTTTATGGTAGAGTTATAAAATGCAGCCAGGGCTTCAATGGGGGAGAAAGAATGGTACTTTTTTAGCTTGAGGGACCGGAAATACCCGACCGGGCTTCGAACAAACCGAGCCACCGAAGCAGGGTATTGGAAAACCACCGGCAAAGACAAGGAGATCTTCCGGGCAGGCGGCGTTCTTGTTGGGATGAAGAAAACCCTAGTTTTCTACAAGGGAAGAGCCCCTAAGGGCGAGAAAAGTAACTGGGTCATGCATGAATATAGGCTTGAAAACAAAAACCCTTTCAAAGCCACAAAGGTAAGTTTCTTTTTTCCTTTCAATATTTAAACTTTGATTCATCCAAGGCATTTCTAAATAATTCTAACGATTTGTTTATAATCATTGAATATGATTTTTTATAGGAGGAATGGGTGGTGTGTAGGGTATTCCAAAAGACTGCAGCAGTGAAGAAACCGCAGCCAAGTTCATCCTCGCAACCATCGCTTGGATCCCCATGTGATGCAAATTCAATTGTGAATGAGTTTGGAGACGTTGAGCTACCAAACTTGAACATCAATGCTAATCCATCGAGTGCGTTCAGCGACATTCCAAATCCAGGTTATAGTAATACTGTTAACCATGGTCATATGAACGCCATGAACTTGAACCTAGATTTTGGAGCAGCAACCCTTCCATCGTCGCTCTCATGGCCTTCTAGCATTCTAAGCCCTAATCTCCCCATGAATTCCTTTCTGCTCAAGGCATTGCAGCTTAGGAATTATCAACCAAGAGATGTTACAGCCATGGATTATTCGATTCTGTCGTCAACACAAGGGATTAATATTCCTCCATTCGCCACAGATTTAGCTTCTAATTTCCACGGGGCTTCTTCTTCTTCCAAGGTTGTACGTCCAATGCCTCAACAGCAACAACAGCAACAACAACAGGAGCAACCATTCAATATGGACTCCATGTGGTGAAAATTTGTAAGCCAAATATATCTGAAAGTGTGAAAAAGCTAACACTTTGTCAATATTCCATGACATGAAAGGGTTGATTAAGATGAAAACAATCTCAATGTTGTAATGAGCAGTTGTCGAGTTTCGATCTTATATATTATGTTTGTTTACGTAGGTAAATGTGGGGGAAAGAAACCCTAGAGATCTCCTGTTCTATTATATATATTTTCTAGAATTAGAATGCTAGGTTGTTAATACACTTTTTCCAGTGAAAAGTACTAATCAATGTCCATAAATTCCAACTGCTATAATAAGAAGACTTGCTCTCTTTCTCTGGTGCGTTGCAACTTAATATTGCATTATTGCCTGCATGCCATTCATACGTACATACATACATACATACATACATACGTATGTACTTTATATAATGCTCTTTCTTAACTTTTGTTAATGTATTCAATGAACAACAAGAGTAAACTTAAATGAGCTCAGTGAATGCCACAAATTACTAAAAATAAACACATTAACAAAGATTTAGAAAGAGCATTTCGCATGTATTCTTAACTCACACTTTTAAGTATTATATGCTTTATATTCATGTTATCATAATACAAATGGAATGTCAACTTACCGAAAATCAAATCAAAAACTTACGATGCATTCACTCATATTTTTCTTTTTCATGTGACAAAACATTCATGTTTTCTTACTCATACGGCACAATTCAAATGTTGACAATCATCAATGATTTATTATCACCTTTCTTTAACTTGAAACATAATAATTTTAATTATGAATTGGATAAATGAATTTCTTTTTAATCATCGACTCAAAGAGTCAAGTTCAATCCCACGTTATGTTGTATAAGCTAACACACTATACTACACCAATCTATTATCACCCATGAGTGAAGCTAAAGTAACATCACTCCATTTTCTCTCCATTTTTCATGGAGGTATATAATAATCTCATTATAAATTTTTAAAACAACGAGTATACCCAATCCTAAGAGATGCCCTACATATCCAAAAGTCTCAAAAATATTAACAAGCCACTACATGTTGTCTTCAGTTGACGATGAACGCTCAAAAACCTCTACCAACATCGTGCTCGAACTCGAGATCTCTAAAAATAACAACTATCCCTTTAACTTTTCATATTTGAAACACAATACATACTCTTAATGAACTGAAATATTGAAATTAACAAAGAAAATATATCACTTGAAATAATTTAGATGATTAGATCTCACTTGCAATACACACCCTACAGATGTAGATGATCGAACTCAAGACCTCTAAGAATGACAACATTCCCTCTTACCACTGAGGTCACTAGATGAATTCTAACTTTTCTTTTTGATCGTTGGAATTCAACTCCAGAACTTTAGATAAACCTCGAGTGATACAAAATATGATTACTAACAGTTAAGAACAAATCCAAAAATCACTGAAACAAATTAAACAATCTAATTTCTTTCACAAACTAAACTATTAACTAGAATCATCAAATTCACTCTAAACTATTCTAAATACATAAAAATATATTGATTATATATGATCTATAACATTTATATATGACCTTTAAGATTATTTCTAACCTTTAAATTAGCTCAAAATTTAGAAATTTTATTTTTTCAAAAATTTACTCAAAAACATGCTTAATCACTCTTGATCTTCAAAATTAGATGAGAATATTTTTATATTTTGATAAAATAAGATTAGAGATATCTTATTAGATGCAAAATATTTTAAAGATCATTAAGAAATTAAATTTAGAACACCATAATCAAATTTCACCACTATTGTCTTGATTTTTGATTTGATTTTTTATGGGATTTAAAAAACTAAGTTAGATGGATCAAGATTCACTCTAAAAAACAAAATCACAAGGATTTAATGATATTAATAGAGATATTATATCTTCTTCAAAGAAGACTGAAAATGGAGAATGATTTCTTGAAAATCCTTTAAGACTGTTTTAAGAAAAAGATGAGAAGGTAAATAGAAATTTGAGAGAATTCTAAAATATTTTTAAGGAAGAAAAAGGTGTTCAAGAGTTTTGAAAAATAAAAATGATTAGGTGGCTATAAAATGATTGAAAATTAAGAAAAATAAAGAAATTAATGTACAAAATAGGTGTAGAAATATGAAGAAAATATTAAAAAGACAATGGGTGTTACTGATTTTTGAAAAATTCAAGGTATAATTATTTTTAAAGACTTAAAGTTCCTGATCCCTTTTTAAAATAGTTCATTTTTCCTTAATTAAAAATATTTCATTAATTAATCTTCTAGAATCTCAATTCTATCTTAATTGATAATATTTAATTAATATACCAAAATTTCATAATCTTTATTTTTGACTAATTTTCCAAATTAAATTTATTTTAAGAAAATTCCATCTTATTTTTAAAATAAAATTTGACTCAAAAATTAATTTCCAAAAAAGTAAAGAAATCTAAACTATCTGATTACTTACCTGATTCTACTAACTTAGATTTTTGAGTGTTACAACATGTATTATTATTGTTATTGTTATGCTTACTGCAAGATTGTTCTATTTATAATGCTATTATGCTATTATCTCAATTTTGTTATTGTTATTGAGCTGAATAGTAGACTGACTACCTAGGAGACTGCTTTGGAAGAAAAAGGTCTAAGGATCAATATTGAAAAGACAGAGTATTTAAGTTCAAACTTCAGTGGGAACCAAAACAATTAAGATATAGAAGTATGCATAGAAGGCCACGTTCTCCCCTCAAAGGATTGTTTCAAGTACCTAGGGTCTATGATACATAAAGATGGAGGTGTAGATGATGACGTTACACACCGTATAAAGGCGGGATGGCTAAAGTGGAGGGCTGCTACTGGAATTCTGTATGACAAGAAGGTGCCTCTAAAACTTAAAGGAAACTTTTATAGAATGGCAATAAGACTAGCGATGCTGTATGGATCAGAATGTTGGACAATCAAGAAGGATCACGTAAGGAGGATGGAGGCCGCATAAATGAGAATGCTTCGATGGACATGTGGTAGGACTCTGTGGGACATGACACCAAACTCTGCTATTAGGTTATCCTTGGGGGTGGTGCATGTGTCCGAAAAATTGAGGGAGGGAAGACTACGGTGGTTTGGGCATGTCCTTAGGAGACAACCGTCGGATGCGGTCAGGAGGGTAAAGTCGATTACAGTCGACGGTGCCAGAAAGAGAGGACGACCAAGGCAGAAGTGGGAAGACTGTTTGAGATCTGATTTGAAAGATTTAGCCCTAACCGAGGACATGACCTCTGATAGGAAATTATGGAGACTTAAGACCATGTTAGCCGAGTAGTACGGGTCACATCTATAGGGTGTATCTTTTCTGTCTTCTTTTAATGCCTTTATAGTAATTTCCATGACTTCTACTTTTTATACGTTTCTGTCATTGGAATTTTTGAAGGCTTAGAACTAGGGTTGCTGAGTAGTGTTGCCTTAGTTTAGGTTTTATCTCTTTTGACAGTATTCCTTCTCGTAGCTTGCAATCGTTGACTTCTGCGTATCATTCTCTTCATGTTTCCTATTTTTAAATTTAGTCGGGTCTAACTTTCTTGTCTAAATGCAGAGATTTTTAAGCATGGATTTAGTTGCAGGGATTACTTACCATTACAAAAGAGCATATGAATACTACATATGAAGACTGTTCAACTATGTATTTATTTATTTATTTATTTATACAAGCATTGCATTTTATCTTTATTTTTAAATTTTCTGATTGCCGGATGTCTTCCACAGAAGCTGCTCTCAACCATGCGTTGGGGGCAGCCTACTATCCTACCTCTCCCTTATCCCATTGTATATGGGAATAGGGTTTTGTTGTTGTTGTTATTCCTATTTGATATTTTGTTTATTATTTGCACTATTAGATTAGACTGAGCTTTTCTCCTCTTTTCGAGTTCTTCCTTCCATATATTACAAGATATAAGGGTCTGATCGACATTCGAAAGATCAATCTCAGACACTTCTTTTAATTTCATTTAAATAAATTCCTCATACGTCTTATTTCATAATGTAACATAGTGTTTTGTTTTTAGGAAATATATTATCATTAATTTACGTACTTTATAGTTAATACAGATTTTGAGGCATTTTAAGTAAATTTATAATTTTATAATAATTAATGCTTTTAATACATTTTAAAACATCGAACTGAATTATGGGTTGTTTCAATGATCAATATGACCTTGATCTTTAAGATTCGATCATCAGATTATGGGCCATAAATTGAAGGGCATGTATGCACCGGAGATGGAGAAGCCATTACTCGACAACAAACACAAATAATATAAGAGTATGTTTGTTTCACGTAAAACATTTTAAGAAAAATATTTTCCTCATTTTTCAGTGTTTAATCGAAGGAAAACCGGTTGATCAATGTAAAACATTTTCCTGATCAACGTAAAACATTTTACTGATCAACAAAATCTCCTTTATGTTTTCTAAAAAGTGACTTACCTTCTAATTTTCCTAAATAATTTTTTCAAACTTTACACTTCAAAGAATAAATACTCAAAATAATTTTATTTTATAAATTTATCATTAATAAAATATTTTAATATCATTTTAATCAAAATATTAATTATTAAAATATTTAAAATATATTTATTAATATTTCTAATAATATAATATAATATAATATTTTAATATAATAATAAAATAATCAATTATATTATAATAATATAAGATATAATATTTTTAAAATATAATATAATATAACACTATTACTTTAATAAATAATTAAAATAATTTATAATACTTTTATTTCAATAAAATAAATCAATATTAATATTTTTATTAATAAAATTATAAAAAAATATTTTAATAATAAATAAATTATTTTAATATTTTAAAAATAATAATATTAAATTTTATGATAAATAATATTATATATTATATTTAATATTTATAATAAATATTTTTCAAAAAATTCATCAACTAATCAACTAGTAAAAAAAGTATAAATAATATATTCCAAACATTATAAAACATTTTCTAAAAAATGTTTTTCAAAAAATATAATCGAAAAATATTATCCGAAAAGTTTTCTGAAAAACGTTCAGTAAACAAACCCTAAGAACAAAATACTCCACAACCAAAAATATTGACACGTATCCAGTACATTCGGCATTTCTCTTTTCTTCTCATTCTTCTCTTTTCTGGTGTTTAATCTTTTTAAATTTTGTGAGCTCTAAACTTTCTAGAGCTCTGTAATGTTATATATTATCATTACTTTACATACACGAGCTAAACTTTTGTACAGTTAAAACTAAAAAAACAACCAACAAAATTAACATACTATCACTTTCTCTTCTTATCTTCCTTTTCTATTTCAAGCACCACCGGAGCTGCTGGGATGCTTAACCACCACTCTCTCAATCTCCTCATCCATCTTTCCGTGTTTGCTTTCCTCGGCAGCGAATATCTCGTAAATGTCTCCAAAAATACCAGGAGCAACATGTACTTTCCTGGCACTAAAGCCAGTATCAAAGCTGCAAACAGAAGAGTGGCCGCAAACTTCTCGCTTGCCTAGTAAATTAACATCATAGCCAAAGTAAGGCAGACTACAATAAAAATCAGTTTTATATGATTATGGAAGTTGAAAAATATGAAATATAAACTGACAGATTCTACTATGGTGAAAAGGACAGGGTAGAACCTTTGGGAAAATGGATAGCAACAGGGCCCGAAACTTGAGAAGCGCTACGTTTCCATCTTGGATAAGCTGTTCAACTTGAGATATCGCGTTCTGAACAGCCAAAAGCTGCTCCATTGTGTTCATAGGTGGAGGTGCTATTACCTTAATTTCATCCACGGGCCTGCCTTGATTGAAAAGTCGCGTAAGAACCATAAAGATGGCGAAAAACAATGCCATCAATGCAAAGGCATAAGCCAACCATCCCCTGAAATGGACAACAAAAGACTGCCATTGAGATCATGCAAAGAGACTCTAGAGTGATGGTAAAATGTTTTCTATTAGATCAACCTAATATTTTCTTTTGACTTGTTAACAGTATTTGATCAAACATTTATAAAACTTGACTCTTAGATATCAGTAGAACTACTGCAGCTTAACTCAGGTTATTTATCTTCAGATAGATAAAAAAAAGAAGCCATGTGGCGCATTTAGAATATGCGCATTCCAGGTGAAGGTGCATTCGAAATGAACCTGAAAGTTGACAGTCCCATTCTACAATAGGTATACATGGAAGTGCTAGATTATGAACCTTTCCCTTATGGTAGAGCAGGGATTTACTTTTCCTACTTTAGTTTGGTATTCTTTCACACAAACCCGTCAATCATTGTAATCATGTCTAAGACATTTCCCCAACTCAGAAGAGTATATAAGCTAAGAAATTTAGGAACCAAATTACTTACATTGACTTCTATATGCCATTGGAACTACACCAGCTTATCTACGGATTGTTAATAAAAAAATGCAGATGGAAAAAACCAATCATTAAAGGCATTATGGAGAAAAGCATGCATTCCAAAAGGTGCAAGTATAGGAAAAAAATGTCAGGGAAGAAACAAGGACATAAATACCCAAAATATTTTCTAAAAAATGGACCAAAGTTGATGATTTTAAGCCTTAAACAGCATACATCCCAAAAAATAAAATTTGGATGTTTACCATACATAAAATCTACACATGTGCTACATGTGCTCATGGAACAATTAATAATAAAAATAATAAAACGGTTTTATTCAATTTACCTTACCTGAAAATTATGAACGTGAAAAGCAAACAAAACATTAATGACTTTGGAGGATCATCCCAATATAACAGAGAAAGAAGCAGTTTCCCAACTTCTGTCACTGGAAATAGCAACTCCTGCAAGTAGAAAAGAGTGCAAAAAATAAAATAAAATTGCAGTTCAAGTTTATCACTTTGCCAACTAAACACTGGATTTTATATTTCATGGCATCACTAACAGACATATGCACACATGATGAATTTATGACCTCCTCCAACTACATTTTACTTGGGACTCAAAATTCAATAAATAAGGACAGTAAATCAAACTTATATGCAGTTGACTAATGAAAAGGAACAAGGTTTGAAATTTTGCAAGTACTAAAGCAAATACCTTCATAACAGCTAAATTGGTGTCAATACCATCTACTTTAACCCCATCGACTGTTTCTTGTGCTTGCACCACCTTTTTATAGTTGTCACTAGATTCTTTAACTGTTCTCTCCAATAAACTCATCTCCCCCACAACTACTTCACCAACAAGAAGTTCATCCTCACTTGGACTACTGGAACTTGAACCAAACACAAAACCCAAGTTTGAAACCATTGCCAAGGCTGAGATTGAGTACATGCCACCTCCAGCCACTTTATTATTACCCCGTTCTAATTTTCTAGAATTTGAGATTTTTGCTAGAGTCTCCAGTATCAAATCTCCCCCAGGTAATTGATCACAAAGGTTAAACATGAGAAGAGACTCAAACTGTACAGAGTTTGAGGAACTAATTTCTTGAATGGCTTGCACACGTAAAATTCCAAGAATAGCTTTCGAAAGTGCATCATCCTTTTCAACTCCCTTTATATGGTACTTGTTTATAAATTTGTGAACATATAAAATTTCCCGGATTATTGCTAGCCAGTAGTCACGCCGAGTGTGCCCTTTAAGCTCAGGAAACTCTATAACAACTGGTTCAGATCTAAAAGAGAAACACAGTGAACAATCGATCAATAAATTATATCCTTGGACAAGCATTATGTTAAGATATAAAATTCAAGATTGATTTAACACCAAAAGATCACATAATCTGTTGGACAGAGTTACAAGGAATAAATAAATAAATAAATCTGCACCATGCCTTACAAGGAAATTGATTTGTACAACACTGCCTTGTCAAAAAGCCGAGTACCCCATGGTCCAGTCAACTCAGGTTTAACAATTTGTTTTAGATCATTTGACAGATCATATCTTTTAGGTTTGTCATAAGATACAACTTTAAGGGCTTCAAAGTACAATGCTTGATCAGTCAGTATTAATCGACCTGCAAACATGCAAGAACAACCTCAAAGCAGGCAAATTGAAAAAAATAAAGTAAGAGAATCAAAGAAAATGAGGAAAGGAAAAAGTATTGTTTCAGAAATGACTATCACCAATGAACAAAGATATTGTATTCTATTAAATACAATGCTTGCTATCCAATCAACTTACCTGGCCATGTTGACACTCCAACATGTTCAAGAACCGGTTGAGTAGTGACTGTCCCATCCACCTCAAGTATCTTTTCTCCTCTTGAAACTCGAATAGCAGACAGAAGAGAGGACTTTGTTTGGGTCTTCATCCTTTTTATCACTATAGAATAAATTTTAGAATACCATAACCATACCATATTTAGATTTGCAAACCTACTAAATAGAGATCCTACCACAAATTACTAAGCTTCCGATGTACTACAAAACTTCCGCGGACAAACTAAAAACTAAAAACTGAAGAGAGGTGTAGTGAGCAACCGAACAAACAAGATGATCAATAGATAATACAGGGTAAGAAAATTATATTATGGTTCTGAGAAATTTGCATATCATATAACTGACATACTACTACCAATTGGTTTTGGTCGAACTTTAGAATGGTATAGAGGCCAAGTTATTCATAGCCCTATGTGTTTCAATTTTTTAATAGCAGCATCACGTGAAAAGGCAAATGATAAGGTTTTATAGCACAATCCTAAATTTAAGGTTCGTTTCAATCAATAAAATATCAAATACTTAAGACAGCATAACAAGTATTATAGAACCCCTCAAACTTGACATTAGAGCTTCAATTATATTGAGGTGAATTGTAACCAAAAAGTCATGATAGGCCAGCAGATTATCCCTCAATTTTATTCATTAAAAAGCCCTAAGAAAGAGATTAACCAGGTAATTTATGGAGAAATGACACAGCACACCACCTTGACTATCATGTACTGAAGCATACCATTTTAACCAAGTATATACTAAGGCACTTGAACTTTAAGTTCAACCCAAGTTTGTATTCTTTATCAGTAATAATTCACATTTCCTAGCCTCTAACCTTAAAGAGAGGTCATTTTGATAGCGAAAAATAAATGTCCCTCCCCATCTGTAATATTGACCTGCATGATTTAGGACTAGAAAACTGTCAATGAAGTTTCTCACTTTGCAATTCCAAATGCCCTAAAAGTTTAGTGTGAACTAGACTTGATTTTACACCAAATCAATCTTTTTGGTTAGTGCATCTTAGAACAATTGAGAAATCACATATAATTTTCAACTCCCTTCAAAAATCTGCAATTTCCTTGCAAAATATTCTGCACTTATTCCTGTAGCTTTACTGTACAAACTGTACTTTAAATGAATATCAATTCAAACCCTTTTTATGTGGTCCCTCTAGGTTGGATATATATCCTCATATATATATCCCTCTAGATTGTTAAGTTATTTAAGCCTTTAAGGGATATGAGCTAAGGAGAGAACTTTCATTTGAACAGTGAAACTTTACAGTAGAAACACATAATTGGACTAAAACAGACAATTCACACAGTAAAGGCCCTTACCTTTCTAGTCCACTTAGGTACTTATCATAGACAGAGAAATGAAGTCGACCAGCTGTTGAGGATGTAAGAACATTGAAAAGATTTTCACAAATAACCACATTGGCAATGATTGGAACTGCTGGTGCTATTCTAGTGAAGGCTTCCACCCCAACTGAGAGATCATCATCTAACTGCAAGCAAAGACAAAATTATCATAAACAGTTTCAGCATCAAATCTAAGGTTTATTGGACAATAGATGGAACAAGAAAATCAATTAGCCAAGCGAATGAAGGCGGTTCAAATGTGTTCAAAAATTTTACATAACATGAACTTAGATTTGGGAGTCCTGTGTATCTAAAGACCAGAGCCATAATTTCCTTAAAGTTTTGGGCATCTGGAGTCATCTAAAAAGTGATGGAAATAAGATATAAATACAGGATATATTATTCTAAAATGTCTTAAAAATATATTAGTACTATAGAGTTTCAACTCGCATTCCACACTCATATCTGTGTCATGTAATGTCAACACATATGGTACATTCTATGAAGCATGGAGACTTCTGCCAGGGAATTTACTGTCAAAGTGTTGGACATGTGACAATATACATGACAGAAGGCTTACGAGATGATTGAAAACATATTCTCCCTCCCCTTCAAAAAATAGAAAAGAATAAAGAAGACCTGAAATATGTAACTTACATCAACTGGATATTGGCCGGCAGCTGCTGGGGCTTCCCAAGCAACCATCATGTCAAATGTAAGACGTCGAAACTTTTTATCAGCCAGATGACCCATTACTTGAGTAGGAAGACCAAGAGCCCTGAAACAACAGTATTCCAAAAAATTCCTCGCATGCTGTGACTTTATAGAATCAGACGCCTCAGCATTGAAGCGTTCTAGAAGCTCATTTGAAGAGGTTTCCAGGATTCTGCATCATTATGTTTTTGTTATCCATAAGGAAAATATAAAATGAAATCAAAATTTAATTTGCACTATTCTTATTTGCATCTAGATTGAATTAGAAGCAAATGAAAGCCTAGTTTAACAAAACAACTTCTAAACAGATTACGGAACAAGTTGCAAAAAGAATTCACGTGCTTGTAAGTTGTAACATGCAGGCAGCAATAGCAAAATAGAAGCAAAAGAAACCTACTTTGAGCAGCGGTGCACAATGATATTTGCAACCGGAGAGAGCTCAGGTATCCAATTCCTTCCAGCAGATGGAGAGTTCTGCAGATCCTCCACTTCCTCTGCAAAGGAGCTTCGCTTGCTAAGTAGCCATTTGAATGATCCTTCTCTTACCAAAGCTTCGAGCATATTTTTACTTTTTCTTGCCTCCGCAATTTCTAAGGTTTCCTTCAATTCATACCCACTGAAACGAAATCCACTGTGAGATTTCTAATACCAGTGTATAAGTTCAAACATCAAGATTTCTTCAATAAACCTTTAAAGTTTAGCCATTTTTCAATGCATCCAACTAGCATAAGCAAAACCTTATTTATGATTCGTATAAACCTAGTAATACAATGTACATCAATTTTAAGTGGCAACCAAAATCTTCAAAGAATCAAAGAGAGAACGAATTACAAACATTTTCTAACGAGTCCACTCTTTATTATAAATCCAACTAAGGATATAAGCTAATAAAACTCAATCTCCACATCTTTATCTAAGACCTATAAAAAACCCGTTCTTTTTATTTATTTATTATTATTATTATTTTAGTGTACCCCAGAACAAACGTATTGGATTACATTGACAACCTAATATATACGAACCAACAAATGGGAAAGCAAAAAGAAAGCATTTACCTAAAGAGATTGTGAAGTCTCAATCCTTCCACAACCCCAATCAAGTTCACAAGAATATGTTTGCTGATTCCTGCATTCAAAGAACACCCATCTCAGATTACCTTCTTTGAACAATTAGCCATCAACCCATTTCTACAAAAAGCAAGATTTATAAGATTACCTCACTAAACAAGAGTTCTAAAAAAATCTTCTTTTTGGAGAAAATTCATTATCTTTTTTAAGGGATCTTAAATAAAAGAGGGGTAAATATGCCAAAAAAAATAGGGAGAGGTGTGTACAGTGAAATTTAAAGCTGGAAGTAGAGTTAAGAAACTTGTATAATCTTAGCTTAGCGGTGGCTTTGTTGTGCTGGACAGTGATCCGAAGAGATCAAACTTAGCAGGAGCCAGAACGTGGCTTGTAATATGATTTGCTACATTTTGACTCTTACTTTTAGGTAAATTATAAATTTAATATCTAAATTATTTTTTTATTTTTTTTATTAATACCTAAATTTTATATTTTCTTAAAATTATACTTAACGTTTTGTTTAAGTTTAGTTTTGATACTCATCGATAAACTTAACGGTAATATTACATATGAACATGGCATGAAGGTGGAAGTTTGGTGTAAGATCAAGCATCAAAACAACCAATTACACCAAACTTTCACCCCGTGTCATGTTTGTATGTAATTAATCATTTTAATTTCTCTTCGCAAAATTACAAACGTTATAACTAAAATATTTATAGTAGGTGATAAAAAAAATCATTTGTAACATAAAATGTTAAATCCATTCGTTTATTAAGTTAAACTTAATTGAATGGAAACATTTGCAACGCAACATCATTACTTATATGAAACTTTAATTTTAAAATAATATCAAAATAAAAAATATTGACACTTATACTCTGATGTCTGATACTTGTATAAAGCTTTAATTTCATAATAACTTTGATATACTAACTATTGAAATTTATGCTATAATGTTCGATACTTTTATGAAAGTTTAATTTCAAAATAATTTCGAAATATCAAGTATCAATAATTATGTTATGTGTATCGATACTTATAATATTAATTTATTAAATAATATTTCAAAGTTCGAAGTATCGAAACATAGGCTTTGAAGTTTGATACTTTATTTGTAGTTTGTTTTTTTTTAGAATTTAAAATATAAATGGTTCAATGTTTGCCCAATGTAAAACTTGTAATCATCAACTGGTAAGAAATATAAAATTTTTAGCTATGAGGTTTCGGGAGATTAAGAAAGAAAATGATGAGATTTTGTGTTTAAGTGTTCCAGATTAACTATATTTCATGATTGTATTTATGATGTTGCAACCTAAAATGTTAAATATAGTTCTATACTTATTTCACACAAGTATCGATACTTATTTCATTTTTTAATAATAGTATCGGTCCTACTACTTTTATCTTTTACTTTTTAATGGTTGTAGCACAAAATATTATAAATAATGTCATATTTTCGATCACACTCAACCTAAGTTCTTATGTTGAAAGACTTTTCCCGCTTTAACACTTTGATACACCATCTTTTCGGCGTTACCAATCATACCCTAAATGATATTGTTTTGATGCTTATAACCCGCGTGATGTTCTGACTCAAAAGGGATCTATATGTTTACAAATGAAAATTTATCGCATTTTCTCTTTATTTTTATTTCAATTTTGCCCTTTGGTTTTGTAATCATCATTTTTTGCCATATACTATTATTTTTAGTATATATATTACTATTATTTTATGTATTATTTGTACTTATTATCATTTTACTATTACTTTATTATTATTATATTTATCATTTATTATTTTCTTATTATCTTATTATTATAATTATTATTTAATGTTATTTTATTATTACTCTTATTTTATTAATTATTTTTATTATTATTATATTATTTTTATTATCTTTATTATTATTAGTTATGATTATGATTATGATTATTATTTTATTATATTATTCTTATTGCTATTTACAAAATATGTATGTATTTAAAGCCCAAACTATATACTTATTTATTTTAATTACAAACCAAATTAAGCCAAGCCCACCAACCAAAGCCCGAAACATGTTAGCACTTGTGTTAAACTTAGGTTTCCCTAGCCATCCCGCCGCCAGCCAAGCCTCCTCAGCAAGGTTTCTCCATGCCAGCGCCAGCAGCTGACCAAGCACAGTGGTCCCAACTCCACGTTGCGGCCTCATTGGCTATCTCGCTTGCCCCCAGTAGCCACATCACGAATTCGCCCTCCATCTGTGCGTTCAGTAACCTAGCTGGCCCCCTCGCCCAGCTAATTTGAGCGTACGGACTATGCTGGTGGTCCCAGGCCACGCCCACAACAGCTCTTACGCGAGCACACAGGCCAGCAACAAGGCCCCAGCAGCAACCCAAAGCTGGTCCCCTCTTCAGATCAGCGCCTCGTCATCACCAAACAAGCAAACAAACAAACAAATTTAGCTTCTTTTCTTTTACTTTTACAAAAAGCCATGTAAAGGGGTAATATAAAAACCCAACAAAATTTATAACAGTTTGAGATCATATACACTTAAAAATAAAAAAGAAAACGAGACAAAAAAATGTCTCATTTGAAAGGTATCGAGAGTTTTTTTCGTTTTATTTTATGCAAGCACCTTTGGAAAATAAAAAACAAAAATAGGGGAAGATAGAATAAGAGACTGGAGTGAATGTTACCTGGGTCGTTTGGGTTCCTCGTCGGAGTCTAGGTCGCCAAAGAGTTGGGAGTTGAACTGTCGAGGACCGTTAGGAATTTTAGAAGCTCGGTTGAGGATTTTAGCCCCAAATCGAGGCTTTAGGCTTTTTTTGGGGTTATTTTCGGGGTTCATTTAGTAGGTTTAAGACCCGACCACCTCGGTGGTTGGGAGCGCTCATCGTCGATTCATAGCATCCTTAGCGGGTGGGAAGCTCTCGGTCGAAGAAATGAGAGGCTAGGGGATTTAGTTTTGTCCCGTTTAGGGGACGGTTTGGCTCCCCGTCTGGTTCGGTGGTGGTCGGAGGTATATCGATGGCCGGAGTTTGGGTTGGTTGTCTAGGGGCTCTCGGCCGAACCTTAGAAGATTTAAGAGGGAAAGCTTTGAGAGAATAAGGAAGAAGAGATATGAGTTTGTGGCTAGGGTTATATTTTTAGCCAAATATGGAAAAAATATGTCTATATTGCCTAAGATTTGGGTTATTTCCACTCAGGTCACTCTAGTTTAGGCGCGTTTTTACATTGTAGTCTATAAGAGCCTCATTTTCTTATTTTTTCTAATTTTGATGTTTGGTTTTATTTTGTTTCAATTTAATCATTACACTGCCATGCTATTTATCTCACAAAGAAGAGAGATGACCATATTTTATCTCACAAAGAAGAATGTCGAGATTCTGAATCTATTATGAATGAAAAAAGAAGATAGATAGAGACTGACACTACTTTATCGCATGAAACAAATCAAGAGTTGATAAAATTGTTTCAAGATTTTAAAGGGATATTTTCCTGGTCTTGTTAGAATATGCCAAGGTTGAATACCTATGTAGTAGTGCACAAATTCCTAATAGACTATTAATCCTTTATCATATAGCATTTGAAAATTCCTTGAAAAGTGTGTTGGGGCTACATGGTAAGTCTAGAAGGAAGGAAATAATCATCTATTATTTAAGCAAAAAGTTCACTAATTGTAAGATCTGATACCTGCCAATCTAGGAGATATGATGTGTTATGGCATGGGCTACCCGAAGGCTCAGATTGGTGATGGCATATATTTTTATTTAAGTTTAACATCGTGTATGAAAGCAATAAAAGGGAGTGTCAAAGCATATTTTCTGGCAAGTAGTGCCTCTGATGATAACGAGTCATTGAGCTTTATTTTTCCCAGATAAGGATTTAATGTGTATCTCAAACAAATATGATGTTGTTTCAAAAGATGAATCATGGAAGCTTTATTTCGATGGGACATCTAATACTTTAGGATGAGAACTTAGGGTAGTGGTGATTGCTTCAGAAAACGTATGTTACCATTTCAGAAACAGATCATAGCTCTTTTGCACTGATAATATGGCATAATTTGAGGCTTACGCTTTGAGGATAAGAGTAGTCATGGAAAGAATAATTCAATGTAAATCATGTGGAAGTTCCTCGATCAAAATTTTTTCAACTACGAAGATAGAGAGAATTGCCACAAGAAATTGTCTTTCATCATGAATACATGTCAAACTTCAGTATAAACTTTAATGAGGTGCAACTTCATTTCCATTTGGTTTTAGGAAAAAATAGTCTTACTCATCGTAGTCAAGATTTCGTTACTTTAAGTTTTGATGAAAGTAGAGCTGAGACAAAGCTGAAGCTCGATGTGATCAGTTGAGCCTCATTGAAGAAAAGAGGTTGAAAGTTATCTACCATAGATAGATGTGTCAGATGCAGATGGCACAACTTATGATAAGAAAGTTCGTCCAGTAGAATTCTGAGAGGATGATCTAATGATTGAAAAGATCTTGTCAATTTATAAAGATTTCCATAAGAAATGGATGCCTAATTGGAAAATGACCATATGTTCTCAAAAATGGGTCTTTTCTATATGAGTATCATTTCTAATTGGGATAGATAAAGATTAATTGAATTATTCAATAAATCCATGTTCGAGATAAGAAATGCTACACTTGAAGAGAGAGAGAAAAAATAGAAAAAAAAAGAAAAAAGAAAAAAAAAGAAAAAAAAAGAAAAAGAAAAAGAAAAAGAAAGAAAAGAAAATGAATAAGAAATGAAGAAAAATGAGAAAAAAGAGAAAAGAGAGAGAAAAATGAAGGAAATGAAAATAAAAAAGAGAGAAAAGAAAATTGGAATGAGGGTTCAATACGAAAATCCACAAAGATCGTCTTGAAACTAAAGGAAGTATTTGAGTTAAAAACCTGAAAAGGTGGCTCAAATGTGTTTTAATATTATGCATTTGGAAAATAAAACCCTCTTAAGAGTCTGGTACTCTGGGATGAGCTTCACGCCTACAAAAATTGTGGCAACATTTGAAGCCTTTTAGATAAAGGTTTACCTCTATACTTCGGGTTGTATTCAGTTGATTGGTTTAAAGAGCCTGATATTTTGAGGGGAGCTTCACTTCTACATACATTTTGGAAACATTTGCATTCTTCTAGACAAAAGCTTACCTCAGTGCTCCAAATTATATCAAGTTGATTAGTTCAGGAACATTCATAGTAGTAATACTTGAGGCATCTGACTTTA